GCGAGAGTTCAACTGTGTGGTTAACCCGAAGGCGCGAAACGATTAAGTAGCAGTCGGCCAGGGCATCTACGTCATCGGCATACTGATACACCAAAGAATCAAACGCAACCTTCGGGAAAGGAAATTATCGAACAAGCTTATGCTGAAGCACTATCACACGGTAACTAAGAGCCAAATTTTCCCTTCTATTCTGTAACATTCCAGATTCCTGCAATATGTTCTTACGCGCAATGAAATTCCAATCATACAACAAGCCTTAAATACTTCGGTGGGAGGCGGGGAGAAGGAAGGGCGGCGAGGGGGAACTGAGCTGCCAAAGCGTTTTTGCTTGTTTTGGCGGATTTCGAATTGCTTGTAGCAAGTCCGTAAAGAGAGGCAATCTCTGAAAAAAACAATAAAAAGTGATGAATACCTCCATATCGATGAGTGTGAGATCATCACCACTACCCACCAGATGTTCCACAATCGGTAAATCAACAGTAATTGTTTTGGTTTTCGGTTTATTGTTATTAACTGCTTTTGCGGCTTCTTCTTCTGGCGCTGCTGCTGCTGTTGCTGGTGGTGGTGGAGGGGTGGCGTCATTTGCTGAATTTTTATTTTCCTGGCCAACATCTGGCGGCGATTTGCTCTTCTCATCATCAACTTCCATTGGTTCTGTTGCTTGCTTCGCCTACAAAAATGTCAAATATGGCAAAACAAGAAAGTTTCTACTTAGAAAGATTTGTTGATGGCCTGTAGTGAAAATGAAAAGTGTCTGCTTCCACTCACTACTCAAACTCCAGTCCCTTTCCTTCCTGCTATTACTAACTTTTTAGAAAAAAATATCTTATCGCAGTCTGCAAGTGACAACAGTCGAAATGAGATCGTTATGCTCAAAATACACAAAGCACTTCCCGGAACGGATCACTCCCTCCCCCCCTCCCGCCCCTCCCCCCAAGTGGCTCTTTTAGAAGAACAGCTCAGTTGGCATTTTACAAATATGAAGCAATGGATGAAGCTGGGGGACCAGGCACTGAATTATAACTGTCCGAATATTCCAAGTAAATAAAAAGGAGAAACACATGGAAATATGCTGAGTGGCTGCATCTGTGACATCCGCTAGACATCAAGCACAGCCTGGCAAGGCTGTCGATGGCTTCAATCACTCTTTCGAGTACTGCTTTTAAAGATGGATTGATGGCGGTGATCCTCGTTTTATTGGTCAGTACCAATCTGCCATCGGAATACATCGCAGTGGGAACTAGTCATCCCACAGCAAAATTTGAAAAGTTGCATATGGAGGGAACAAATGGGACGAGAGAATACGAAGTGCTCATTTTCGAGCCAAAGATTCGAATCAGTAAGTGTGAAATTTAGTACATCTAGATTCATTTCGATGATAAACTGGCGATGTCATTATGACAGGAAGACAGAAAAACTTTCCTGATGCTGAAAGAAAGAAAGGATCCAATGATTTTTCAACAAGGGATTGCTGAAAGCAATTGCCTAGGTCGCATTTTCCATCGAAGCAAGCTTAAGTGCCTATCCCAGTCTTGTGCCGCTAAATTCAATTACCTAAGCGAAAAATAACACGTGGTACTAAAGCAGAAACTTACTGCTGGTGCTGGAGTCGTCACTTCGACAGTTTCAAAAGTGTTTGCTGAACAAATAGAAAAAATTCCGTTTGGATTGACGCGAACTTTCACTTTCACTTTTCGCGATTCATTATTCGGTCCCG